ATGACAAAAAGATCTCATAATCTTCTGTCTTGGGAGCAGGATTCATCTAAACAACTTAAACATCTAAAGTTTGGGTTAGCTTCCTGTCAATCAACAAAGGGAAATTCTGGGCTGCAATTCATCACTAAAGTAAATATCTAAAATAGCTAAAGGCCAGCTGCATTCTAAAAATGTGTCCACCCTTCGTTATTAACTGAAAATTATCCTGTCTACTTCAAATGTGAACTCTCTGAAGGCTTAAAGCTAGGAAAGAGGGATTCTGCAGGCATGCCCATCCTTGATAACAAACTGGCCTGAGCCCTAGCTTGGTCCTTTCTGCTCCTGTGAGCCCAGCAGCTGAAAGCCATGGCCACCCAGAAGCTGGAGGCCTGTGGGAGTCCAGTAATAATGCACACTCTCAGCTGTAAGAGCAACCCTCTTATCAACTCTGCCATGGTTTCCTCCTCCTCCATTACAAAGGATGGTGATATTGTGCTCTCAGAAACCAGGACAGGTCTAAGCTCATTAATGTTCTTTACCCTTACTCAAATCTTATTGCTTTCTTTCACAACATTCATTTGCAAATTTGGGGTTCTCTACCCTGCTGAGTCTGGCCTCTTGATTGGGAATACTATTTTTAATTTGATTGAGACTTCACAGAGTGCTCCAAACATAACCTCTATAGTCCTCTAAGTTTTCAGGAGCAGAGCTGTCCTGGTGTTACAAGACACTCTGGTTTTTGTTAATACCATTAGAATATGATAATTCTATATGATTCCCATGGTGTTAGGAGAAAATGAAAACCTTGTAATGTTCTTCTCTTGACCACTTCCTTGCTTCTTGTTTGCTAATGTACTTTTTGTTTCTTAACAACAGTTTTCTTCTTCTATCAGTTTTCTAAACTTAAAATCAAGCAGATAGGTTACTCCTGCTCACTAGTGACTTCAATGTTTGAAAAGATCTTCTTTGCTTACACAGATTGGTTGAAGAATGGTCTTTAAAATTACAGAGATCTCTGGAATTGACTGAAGTGCTCTTTGTAGAAGATGTTTGGCTTGTAGCAGAAGTAGACACCAATAAAAATCTTTTACCTTCCACTTCCTTGTAGAATAGAAAGTAATTACTTTGGGTGTAGATGCTGCCCATGACCACTCCTTTGGGATGGTCTTCCTGTTTTTCTTGATGTCTTTCCTCTTTTTTTGACACTTGAAAAGGAGCCTTACTTTTTACAGAGGTTCAAATATTTGTATGAATCAAATTTTCCTATATTCAGCACCAAGATATCAAGATAACATGTGAATGAGATGAGAAGAGGGGGATGTGTGATTACCAAGGGATGCAAGTAGTATTGTAATTACATGCTTTGTGACTTGCTGTATGCTGCTGTGTGCTGCTGAAGTAGACTACTGAGGCCACCAGAAGATGAGAACATCTCTCACGTCTCACAGCCTGTTAAAACAACAACCTGGATACAAATGCCTGCTCCACACACTCCTGTCCCTCTGTCAGACAGGTTTCGTTCTGCTCCTACAGCTGCCAAGCTGTGCTCTGTGTACATCAGCAGGCCAAGAGGTTGTGTTAATGACCAGCAGAAGCCAGTGAAGTGTAATAATCAGTCATTATGTTGCCTTTGTGTTCAGTAAAAGTCTGGGCCAACAGGATATGTGGTGTCCAACAGGAATGTCCTACGGTTGGCCAAAATACTTCTTGATTCACCAGAAATGTTGAAGGTTGAGCAGTAGCTTTATGGTTCAAAAAGTGAAAAATTCTGTTTCAAACTGTACAACTGCTTTAAATTGTACCAGATATGATGTCAAATCCCAAATAAAGTTTTAGAAAGTTTTCTGCCTGCATCTTTTTAGAAATGTCTCAGCTTAGTTTCTTGACAAAATTAAGGTTTCAGAGTTTTCACTTCTCTTAATCCTTCTGATCTAGTGGAAGTTTTATTTCTTCTACTGTAGCAACAATATCTTGCCCCTAACCCAGAAAACGTACTGAAAATACTGAGGTTGGAGCATTGCCACTGACAACACAGTGTGGCTTCTTGAATACCTTTAAAGCTGAAGAAAATACCAGAATCCTTAGACACCTCATAGTACTGTAGTTATGAACACATATTCTACTTGTGAAACTAGTATATTTAATAAAGATAAATATTTCAAGACCATCAATATGCAATATTGGCAATCTATGCCTATATGTCTATTGATTATTGCAGTCACTCTTAAGAAAGCTTTTGAATCACACCCTTACAAGTCTGACACAACTGTCTCTCAGGAGCAGTGAATGAAAACGGTGCTGAAACACACAGAGCTGAACAACAACCCCCTTTCACAGAATCACAGAATCACAGAGCCGCAGAATCACAGAATCGCAGGAGAGGATGAGTTGGAAGGGACCTACAGGGATCATCAAGTCCAAGTCCTGGCCCTGCATAGCACAGGACAGCTCCAAGAGTCCCCCCATGTTATCCAAGAGCATTGTCCAAATACTTCTTCAGCTCTGTCAGGCTTGGTGCTGTGACTACTTCCCTGAGGAGCCTGTTCCAGTGCCCAACCACACTCTAGATGAATAATCATTTTCTAAAATCCAACATAACCCCCCAACTTGACTCAACTTCAGTCTATTCCCTCATGTCCTGTCCCTGGTCACCAGAGAGAAGGTATAGTGTCTGTCCCTTCCTTTCCCCTCACAAGGAAGTTGTAACTGCAATGAGGACTCCCCTCAGTCTCCTCTTCTCCAGGCTGAACAGATCAAGTGACTTCAGCTGTTCCTCATACAGCTTCCCCTCAAGATCCTTCAACAATTTCATGGCTCACCATTGAATATTCCCTAATAGTTTAATATCTTTCTTACATTGTGGCACCCAGAACTGCCCAGCACTCAAGTGAGGCTACCCCAGTGCAGAGCAGAGCAGGACAATCCCCTCCTATGCCCAGCTGGTGATGCTGGGCCTGATGTCCCACAGGACCCAGTTGTCCCTCTAGAGGAAGGCACAAGGTCAACTTTTCCAATTTCAGCTGCTTAAATTTAACCATCTTGCTCTATAGCAAGGCCTTTAGGTGACTCAATTTTTACTGAGGTGGATCATATAAAGCAGCCAAGATTAAAATCCAAAACAATTCTGTCTCAGGTCCTGAGGAGTGAAAATGCTTTGAGCAAGTTTACATGGGATGTTTAGTGTTCAGACCCACCATCTGCCAATGCTGACTCAGTTCTCTGTCCTACAGGGAGCACTAAGCCTAGCTGAAAACAGGGATGGGTTGTGTGGAATCTCCTCTTTACCATCAGGAGTCCAAATTCTCCCTCAGATATCCAAGTATGTCTTGATACCCATAGTTAGTGACTGTTCTTCCTCATACGTGCCTCCTAAAAAAACCCCAACAAAATAACACAAAATTTACGCTTTCAAACTTTGAAGCTCTGAAATGGAGAACCCCCAAACTGTTGGACATCCTTATCATTACAACCAGTTCTTCATCAGTTACAGTATTTCTATTGGTGTCTGAGCTTAGACATCATGTTTCGTCATTTGCTATAAGAGCCAAAAGTTCAAATTATTTCAGAAAAATCAAAGGCGGTATAAGAATATGGATATGAAAAAGTTATGTTAATGGCTGGATGCAATGACTTTAGAGTTCTTTTCCAACCTAAATAACTCTATGATTGTAGTAAGGATCTCCTGAAAGAGGAATATCCAAACCTTAAATGATAGGGCTTGGCTTGCTCCTTGTGCAGGCAATGCTTCTGATCCAATACACAGTATATCAGAAATCTCAATTGGAGCAAACTGACTTTATCCCAGTCAGCCAACACAGTTATAAAATATAGGAATGATTTCTTCACATTTGACTGTTTCCTAGTGTTCTGTGAAATAAATAAAATATATATGTTCCAGAATCAAAGACCAATCTAAAAAATAATTCCTGCAAATTAAACAGACTTTCAGAATTACGGCACAATATTAATTATCTTAGGCTATATCTAATGTTGGGATGTGCCTTTATATGGAGTATGAGATATGACATTCTGTATGCTTTGATTGCATTTTATGATGCAAGTAATTTCACTGGTTTTAATCATCTTCACTTAAGTTACTTCGAAAAAGCATTTAATTAGTTTTGCTTTAAGAAAATAAACTTCCAAACCAGTATTTAGGTTAAAAAGTCTAGAGGGAAATCTGTCCAAGAAATAAAAACTGCAGTTGTCACAGCAAATGATCATCTAATAAGAGGCTGTCCACAAAATATATGCAGCAATTTGAGCTGTCTTCGAAAGTCAGGAGGATACTGTGCAATTCATTAATTTAGTATGAATACTGAAATATTTGTCATTTCTCTTAAAAAAGTAACTCCTGAAGTGACTCTGCTTAAGTGGAAATCTAAATGTCTCATAAAAACCAGCAGCAGTCTAGCCCTCACATTTGTGGCAAAAGTTGAATCACATCACAGAAATGCAAATCAGAAAATAATTTTTTAAAAAACTCACCATTTTTGAGTGTCATGATTACTGAGTGCATGAGGTTGATAATATTTCATAATCCCTGCCTCTGATAAGCATTTTTGACCTGGAAAATACTTTAGAAGTCCATTACAAAAATGTAGCAAAATGCGCAATTTTATTATAAATAGCCTGTTGGGCAAATTTAGTACAGAAGGATTGCAGTACTCAATAGACACAGCATAAAGGAAGGTGATGCTGCTCCATAGCCCACTGACTTTTCAGAAGAAAGCTTCCACTATGCTATATAATTGACAGAGAAGATGAAGCCACTTAAATACTCTGTCTCCATCCCTCAGTTTATTAACTGACTGTTCAATGGATTATGAAGTCTGTGTATTTCAGGAGTAACTGGAGAAGGCAACGCACGCTTAAAACATACAGTTCTGGCTAACTGTTTTCAATGAAATATAGTAGCAGGAAATGTCGAAGCTTCCTTTACACCTACTTTAGGACCTAGAGGTCCTCATCACACACTTCTTATTACTCATGTCTTTATTTTTTTGTTCATTCTTCCTTCCTTGTTCGTGTTTTGTCCTCTTCTTTCTCACTTATCTTTGCTTTCCATTCTTATATTTTCACAGAGAGTGATTCTCAAGTCCTTTGGTGAATTGTTTTAAAATCCCTCAGCACAACAGTAGCTCTTCTCTCCCTACTAGCTGCCTCCAGGAGCTGGCAGCAGAGCAATCTAGATGAAACAATTGCTTTCAGTTATGCCCTTTTGGATCCTTTGATGCAGGAAGGGAATTCCTATAGCCACAGTGGAAGCTCCATGGACCTTTCCAATTCCCAATGAAGAGACTACTAAGACTAATCCATCAGAAATCCTTGGCAGCTGCTGGACCACAAATGTCTGGCTGCTCTACAGACCACATATGGTAGTGGATGCTTTGACAATGAGTGAGAGATCTCTTGTCCACGTCAACTGTTCAAAAATTAATTATTATTTCACCTTGCCTCTTTCCCAGAAATAGTCAGCTACATGGAAGATAAAATAATATCCCTGGGAAAAGGATGATGGAAGAGTATTTGGTCATTGCATGCATTACTCAAAGCAAGGATAAAAATTCAGTTTTTAATCAACATTTTTTTCTAATATGTCCTACTCTATTTCATAATGATAGACAAAGGTGTATCTTTCCAACACTGGGTTGGTTTTGGGTTTTTTTTGGGGTTTTTTTGTTGGGCTTTTTTTTGGGGGGGGGTTGTTTTGTTTTTGGGGTTTTTTTTGTGCAGCATTCTCTGGTATATATATTTTGTATTGTTCAAACAGAAAACATATTTTGCGGTTTCTTGAAAAGTCAGACAATTTACACTGGGAATTTCTGCCTATCCCGATTTCTGTTCCAAAATCACTCAAATTGAGAGAGCTGAGTACTTTCCTTTGTATGAATGTATATGAAGCTAAACTGGGGTATTGTGAAAAACAGTTCACAAAGCCAGTGGAAAGCTATATATAAAATGATATTCTAATTTCAGATGAAGCCTGAGACAAAAAGGATATAGGTAAACACAGCTGCAACATTTTTAGGCATATAATCAAAGGCACAAAAAAATATTGGAAAAATATGTAATTATTGTAATTAAAATGTGAACAGTATTGATGGAAAATATCTTTAAAGCATATAAAATCAAAACAAATCTTCTAACATATGGGAATTTATTCTACAGCAAAGATATGCCAGAACAAAAGTACCAGTTACCTACTTGCTTATTGCTAGTAGAAGTCGAAACTTGAGAGGCAAGAAACAGAAGAAATGTTCCTCGGTTCTGCTTCACTGAATCCTCTACTTTGTGAAGAAATGGGAAACGATCATCGAAACAATAACAGAAGGGTATTTTTAAAATGTTCTGTGTTAAGACACTTGCCTTTCCATCTGCATCTCCAATGTCATTCCCTTCTTATGTCATGTTTCTGTACCATTTTCTTTCCTTCCTTCTATTTAAGTCTTTTGATTCTGATCTTTTCCTTTTCCCTGTAGATATTTTCCCTTCGTCTCTCTGTGAATGTCACAGCAAGTGAGTACACGCTCAGCTTTCGTCTGGAGTTACTTCCACTGGGTTTAAGCACAAGTGCAAAATGAAATTGATCTGTGGAAGACCCTTAAGCTTCCTGTGCAGTCTGTGGAGACTGGCAAGCTCTCAGCACATGGAGTCACATTCCAAGCAGAAGCCAGACTAGACAGTTTGATGTTCCACAAGATGCCATGACTGTGCAGGCAGCCTGAGACAGCCATGGAAACCTGAAAGAGGGCTCTAGCAAGGCTTTATCATTCCATGGAAGACAAGTGATGCCCCACAGAAGAACTTTCCATTGCTTTGTCTTTCTTAGGTTCATGCTTATTTTTTTCTTAATAGATTTCACCAACAGTTTGTTCTCCAGGGCTCTTTCATTCAACAGGACCCCAATAACAATCTTCCATTCAACAGTCAGAACAACAGGTGAGAAATAGTTTTGAAACCCAATGTGTTATGCAGCATATATTGACCCAAAGACTAGGGTAGTCTAAGCACTAAGTTTACTACGTACTATTCTACTGTCTACCCCTTGCCATGGGTCCAGTCATACTGGAATAAATCCAGCTACAGACCTGCTAAATCCCTATTCAAAGTGGGAAATGCAGTGGCCTTGACACCACCATTATCAGTGGACCACTAGTACAGCTGGATGCAGACCATGTTCTGCAATTCAGCACAGTCATGGTGAAAACACTCTTCATGCTCAGAGGGAATCCCTGTGCCACTTACAGACCACCCTCCAGTCTATACAGGCTGTGAGTCATCAGTGGTCCTGAGTGTTGTGTGAAGAGTGGAATTACCTGCTCTAGAAAGTCAATGAAGTCCTAAAGCAGGATGCAAAGAGGTACTGATAGCTCCGCAAATCAAAATAGCTGCTCGGTAATTGTTTGGAGAGATGGTTTTTTCCTGGGTTTTCATTCAGAAACTATTTTTCTCAATTTATCATTTGGAGGGAGAGCTGACATCTTCCTTCCACAGAGAAACATTTAATATTAAGATAACTTGCACATAATACTTTTCTTTTGCATTGCTTCAAACAGAATGATTTCCCATTAAGATAAAGCAAGGATGAGCAGACTGTGGCCTGAACAGAGTGTTCAGGCAGAGCAAAGCAGCAGTATAATGACATTAAGAGTTCGATTTTTAAAACATTCAAAAAATAAATTAAATTACAAAATGAAATTTTTAAAAAATGTTCAAAATTGTCTGAGCAGTACAAAGTCACTTGGAGGACCTTCACAAAATGCAGAATAATTGGCTTCACCCACAGGCCTTAACTGCTCCAGCTGGACATTACCTGACCACTAAAGCCCTTTGGATGAGCCAGTAATGTTTAAATAATCCACATCCAGACACTGCCTTACACCTTCCTTGGTGGACTGCACTGCAAATGCCTGGTACAATTAATTAACATTGGGACCAAAACCAGAGTCTCCAGCTTCCAAAACAAATGCTCAGTCATGTAGCCAAAAGCACAGCTCCAATGACATAAGCCAATTTACTCCCTGTTTTATTAAACTTCCACAGTGTTTAGAATCACTAAGTCACAGTAGGTCTGGCACTTCATGTTATGAACCTTGGTGAGCATTTCCTTACCCACCCAAGCAGAAATGTAGTGTCTATTGCTAATTCTACTGTTTGAGGCATTTCTGTTTTACTGTAAATCATATGTAATGATGCGAAATTTGGCAATATATGTAACATACATGCATGAGCCCAATTAAGACATTAATCTGCCTGCATATGTATATGTGTCTGCCTCCCTTCTAAAAGTTTGAGCGTTATTTTGTGGTCTGTGTGTTTCTCATGTCACTGCCTGTGATCACTCTTAGTACACATGTTGCTATAGCAAACTGTCCCTTGTAGCCAAAATTCACCCTCTCATTTACTTGCAGTCATTTGAAAGTTAAGTTTCAAACATGAGCAGATTTTATGGTTTTCCTGTATATTCAGCAGACTGATGTAGACAGCTCTAGGAGGCAATTTGTCCTGCCAAATCTTAATTGTCAAGGAGGGTCATATGCCCTGAGGTGGCTCATCTCTCTGTGCTGAACATTGATATAGTCTAAGCACTACTTTACAAACAAACAGACTTTTCAGATGGCACAAATCACCTGCGACTCATCCCATCTCTGCATGCTATTGGTTTGCAAATAATAGCTCAGCTTTGTAATTTCAGATTAGTTTTCCTTCTCTAAATTGGTAGTGATTGAAGAAACTATGAAAAGTACATTTCATGATGTAATTTCAAAAATGTTCAAACATTATACAATTTAAGGAGAACAACTGTCCTGGTTTAGGGCAAATTTGGGAGGAAACTTCAAAGGGGTCCCTATAGAAAGCAGATTCAAGTGGTCCCTGCCCAACTGTTTTGGGAAAAGATTTCTTTGAAGAAAAGCAGAAAAAACCTGTTTATTTAACAAGCAAAGTATTCACAAGCATAAAAAATTCAATAATTTTAAACAATAAAATATCTTGCTGTTCTGAAGAGAGGGCAAATTCAGAGAGGGTCCTTTTTGTGGGGTGTAGTTCGGCTTGCTCAGTCTCTTATCAGTCCCTCCTACACAGTAAATGCCGTGTCCCGAGCCCTGGTGGGCCACAGATGTGAGCTCCTGTTGTTTTTCTGGGTATTCAGTCCAAAGCAAGGCTGAACAGTTCCAAGAAAAAGAAAAGCCCAACTATGGGTAAATTCTGGAGATCTGCAAAAATTTACTGGTTTTTACTTTTCTGTGAATGTTCTTTACAGAAATAAGTTTTATTGAAATGCTTGTTGGACTCCACACAGTCAGAGGTAAGACCTGCTTGTTGGCCTCTCTTAGCTCTACTCATTCCCTCGAGGGAAGAAGCAATTGTTCCCTAGTCTCCATTGAGACTTTTGTCTTTATTCCTCTACCTTTTCGCAAGATGCAAGTGTAAAGAGCATTTTTAAATGACATACAAATATAAATTCCTTATAACTTTAAGGGTCTTCAAGTGTAAATTGATCAAACTTGGAGCCTTAGAGCCAGTTCCCCGGGGAAGTAGTGGAGTCACTATCCTTGGAAGTATTCAAAAAATGAGACATGGCACCTCATGGTATGGTTAAGTGGCTACAGTGGTCAAACGCTGGAATTGATGATCTGGGAGGCCTTTTCCAACCTTAATGATTCTATGATTCCATGAGAAGAGTGTAGCAAGGGAACAACTCAACATTATGACTGGCATTAATTAGATTTCAACACCAACCCTTAGTCACCCTATGTTCCCTTTGCACCCCCTTAGTAGAGAAAAATGGGCACTTTCATTATGTGATTAATCTGATATCCATTAGACTGAGATGAAACCTTGACCTCTGTAGCAGCCAACTTTTCTCTTTTGATGACAAGGAAGCTTATGGTGGCTAAATCAGCTGTAGAGATCTTAGAAACATTTCATCCAATCATCTAGTGGTCATGGGAAAAGATCAACATGTTTCATATTTAATCATTTCTTAAATAGGTTAAGGCAAATGAAAATCATAATAGCCACAAAAAGGATTTTCTCAAATAGTGTGAATTAAGTTGCTATTATTCCTAACCAGATATTCATCTCACCAGACCAGACTATCTACTTTGGGGTGAGCTGAATAGTATTTTGCACTTCATTGACTAAATTGCTATTTAGGCTGCATTGCCCACTTACCAAATCCAACCTGTTGTCTAGGATTGCCTAACATAATTTTATACCAGTTTATTTATATCAAGAACATTGCAAGATGCAGTTTTCTGTTTCTAATACGTAGATTAACACAAAAGCAAATTTTTTCCACCAAGAATGAGCTGGTTCTTTGAATGTTTTAAATTATTAAAAAAATCATTCCACCCTCATAATGCATTAGCCCTTTAAAGAACTCTTTCTAGACTTGCAGAGTAAAAATATGACTCTTAGTTCTCATATATTTAGAATTTTGCAGGTTATTGAAACAGCTAAGCTGGAAATAATTGTGGTCAGCTGGCTTGCTGCAATAATTTCATTTTAGCTCATTTCTAGCTTGTACTTGTTTTTAAAGCATCTTGTTGTTTTAACATCTGTCGCTTTTGAGATATAATTATCACTTCAGATTTCTTTTTTGTTTCAAAATAATCTTGAGCGACAGAGGTTATTTGTTTGTCCTTGTCCTCCATTCATAGATGTAGGTGATTTATAGTAAACCAAATTCTTCTTCATTATCTATCCTCACCTAAGCCAGATACTCTGGTTGCCCCATTCTGACAGAACAGCAAGGTCTGAATCTTTGTTTCTGCTGTACAACTTGCCAGGTGCACTGTCCTGGCTTATTTACAAGACTTGGCTTTCTCCTTTAAGTATTTCTACCACATCATATTTGACAGCATTTACATATGGTATTGAATCTTTCTTTATAATGGTAATACTCACCAAAAAAATTATATATATATTAAAATCTTCCCAGTAGAAGACATCTTTACTAATAGAAGTTGCCTGCTGTTCTACTGGCAAACTTGCTTCATGATAATAAAATCACTTTGTAATAGGACATGTTTCAAAGATTTCACTGACATCTCTAATGCATATTCAATGCAAATTCTCCCATCATTAAAACTGCTCTGATGGTACTCCTGAAAGTTGTGTTGAGTACCTGCAGAAAGCAAGGGAGAGAGTACGAGAAGAGAGGGAGAGAGTTGTGTGGATTTCTAGATAGCACCTATCGCAGAGTCCTAAAAACATCCACCAGTGTCCAGATTTGTTGAGAACATGAGACAGTCTTGTAGCAAGCAGAGGCGGTTTGGCTCATCATGCTTCATTCCCTTTTCCATCTACACCATGATGTCTTCTAATTGATTCTTTAATGACCTCCGTGTTTTTGCCTTAACTATCTTGCCTAGTACGCCATTCCACACATTTATGATTCGCTGCTTGAAAAAAATGTTTCCTGACATCTGTTCTGAATTTGTTTTTCTTTAATTTTCATTTATGCCCTCTCGTTCTATCATCTGTGTTGGGCTGAAAATAGGAACCCATGTTGACATTTTCTGAACCATTTAAATTTTATGTTCTTTAATTAAAAAACTC